TTTCTTCTTCATTTTTTATTGAATTCTATTTAGATTTGAAAAGAAAATTTTAATTAAATAAATTCTTTTTTTTCTCAATTTACTTGTGACGATGATGTTGCTTGTTCAACACGATTCGTTGAATCAATCATTTCATTTGTTTGTTTATTTTCAACAATAGGTGGATTAACATTTATTGAAAGTTCATTAGATGTTGTTGTTCGACGTTCATTAGCAAGTACAACTGGTGGACTAATCATAGACGGAGGTTCAACAGTGTTAGAAGTTGCTCCAAATAAAGGTAACGATGATGTACGAATTTTCAAATTTGCTTTCTAAAAAACAAATAATAACATATTCATTCATAGAATTAATTCAAAAAAATCTTGTCTTTAGAGATTTATTAGAATATCTCACTAACTGATTAAAAGATTTCAAAATCATATTCTGATATAAAAGAAGTATGAAGAATTAATATTTTAATGTAATAGAATTTCTTTGAATATGTGTTTTGTATGTTATCATATACAGTCCTTATCTATTTTTATTTTCCATTTCGATTGCATACCTTTGTATTCGTCGTTTATCTTTCGTTTACAAACTATTAATACGTCTCTGAGTCAGAACGAGTATAAATCATAGAATAAAAAGATTCTTCTATAGAGATATGACGTATTTTATTTTATATTTTACTCTTGTGTATTGCTTTATCGATTTCTTAGAAAACTATTTCGTTTTAAATTTTACGGTCTTTTAGAAACTTGTCTTATCGTTATTGAGTATATTGACGAGTTAAGTTTCACTTATAGAGGATAGAATTCTATCGATTAAATGTTGTATTTTCTACTAATATTTTTAAAACAATAAAACTGACCTCATGTGAGTTAGTTGATATTTTATTATTTGTTGATGGTCGTTGAGTTTTTTTCGTAGCAGTTGGTGGCACATCCTAAGAAGATAAATGAAAAACTAAAATAATTTATTTATCTTTTGATAAAAATTTACTGAATTATTATTCATTGGAGGATTGGTAACATTTTTAATATTTAATTTTAATGTTGGAAGTTTGATTGGTGGTGTTGGAAGACTTGATGGTTTCGATAAATCAAGAATAATATCATTATTTTTATCAAAATTTGATGATACATCTGATAACTATGAAAATAGAAAAAAGAAAATTTTCTTTTTTTTTAAATAATTAATAAGTATTGAAATTACATTTGTTGATGTATTTGGTTGTGAATGTATTTCCATAGGCTCATGAATAGGTGGACTAACAATAATTTTTTTTCCAAGATTAACAAATGGAGAATTTGTATTTGATAATGGTGTTGTTGGAGGTTTTTTATTAGTTGTATTTTCATTAATAATTGGTGTTGTTGGTGTTGATGATGATGATGATGGTGTTGTTGTTGATGGTAATTTTTTAATTGGTATTGAAGGTTTATCAGTATTAGCTGAAGGTTTTGGTATTGTTAAACGAATTGGTGGTGGTGGACCTTGTTGTTGATCTTTTTCATTATTTTCCTATACAAATTTGTTTTTTATAAAATATTTTAGATTTAAAATAAAAACCTTTTCAAGTTGTTCTTTTTTCGCTTTTTCAGCAGCAGCAGCTTGTGCTATTTCCAATTCGATAATACGTCGTGGCCGATAAAGAATTGAAGGTAACGATCGACTTGATCGTTTTCCAACTGGTACCGGATTAGGTTCATCACCATTTTTACTTACAAATGATAAAAGTGTTAAAGGATGATGAGAATCAGATCTAAATAGGCAAAATTTGCTTAAACTAATTTCAAATAATAGAAAAAATACTTTTCAATTTTTTTTTCTTGATCATTATAAATCGTCGCATCAAAAGTTGTATCAACATTGATTGATGCAGGTTGTTCAGGTGTTTCTTCTACAAGAGAGAGAGAGAAAAATAAAAACGAAGAAGAAAAAAAAAGAAGAAAAAGATAAATTTACGATCAGGAAAAAGTGGTAACCAATCATAAATATAATCTGTTGATTCATTTTGATCTCTTTCTAAAACTTGTTGTGAATCTTTGGGTGGAATTCTTAAATAAAATTGATTTCGTTTTTTATAAGGAAATTGAATAATATCTTGTGAAAATGTTAATGATTGAAATTGTTTCATATATTGATTTAATTGAATAAAATTTTCATGATCATTGTCTAATAAAACAGATAAAAGATCAAAAAAATTCGGTTGATAACGATTATTTAATTGGAGAAGATTTGATGTTTGTTTTGCAAGAAATTGAAATTGTCTTTCACAAACATCAACTAATATATCAATTGCAATTTCTGATGTTGTATCAAATCCAATAGCATCACATAATTGACTTATTGATATTTTTAATAATTCTCTCGCATAATTTAAAGACATTATTATCTAAAAAACAAAGAAAATTTCTTTTGTTTTTCTTTTATTTTAAATTCTAAAAAGAAGAAAAGAAGAAAAAAGAAATCAGTTTATACAACGACAACAATAACGTCCAGAATAATTATCAACATTACGACAACAATTAGCTGTTGATAATAATAATGATGATGATGACTGAAGATTATCACAAAAATAAATATTTTCATTAATTAAATTCTTTGATGATGATATTAAAAAAGATATACAATCAAATGTTATTCCAATACAACCAGATAAATCAATATATTCTAAACATTTTGTTAAATTATTTTCAATTAATAAACTAAAAATAAAAGAGATTAAAAATAGAAAAAAATATATTTTTTTGTTTTTACTTTAAACCATAATCAGTAAAACGATAACAACCAGATAAATTAAGAATTTTTAATTGAAATTTAATTGAATTTTTTGAATTAAATTGTGAATATTGTTGACATAGATAACATTTATGTTTCGTATGATTTTGACAAAGATTTTCAACTAAACAATTTTGTTTATCTTCAATTGGAATTATTTCATTAGTTTCGTTTAAAATTAATGATGAAATTAAATGATTAAATAGATTATCATCCATTAATTCACATCCTTCTAATAATAAACTTTCCAATGAATTTACCCATCGAAAACTATTAATAAAAAAAATATTAAATTTATTTATTTCATCTTATATCAATATGAATACAACTCGCAATCTTAAATCATATCTCATAGATTTCAATTAGAAATAAAAACTGATTAGAATGAAAACATCATTGATAGAATTCTATATTTGAAATATAAAATTTCAGTGTTATTTTTATGTCAAGATGAGTCTAAAAACAAAGCTTGGAATCATTCATGTTTATGATTTGTTAAGGAAGTGGAAGTATTTTCCTGGATTTGTTTTCATTAAAACACGATATCACCGGAAAAGGTAACGCAAAGAAATTGAACCGAAAAATTGATTTAGAAAAAGAGATCTATTATTAGAAAGTTCGGGAGGTTTAAAAAGAAAAGAAAAACTTTGATAATTAGATCTTCGTCAAAGAAATCTTTTAAAAAAGTAACATTTATAATTTTGTTAATGACTAAATAAATCAAAATGCATACTGTATAAATGCTTTCGGCGTTAATTTAGTCATTCCAATATTGAGATGTTTCATATTCGGACATAAATCAAAGATTTTTCTAGCCTAATAAAAATATAAAATGAATAAATTTTGATTTTGATTTATTTTGAAAATTGTTACAGTATTATCATTAATTGTTAAACTTCCATATAAAATAAGATTTTCAATTGAAGAACCATAATTTGGTAAAAAATATTTAACAAAACCAGAAATTATTTTTATTTCATTCATTTTCTAAACAAAATATTATTATTTATTTATTAAATAAATCTTTCTTTTATTTATTTCTTTATTTACTACTGTTATCGTATCATCTTCATGTTTATTGATATCTTCCAATGGAATATTTGAATCCCATTGACCTAAAATAAATGCGAAAATAAAATTTTAGTTAAATTAATAATAAATAAAAACCTTTTGACCAATTAATCGGATTAACAATTTTCCAAATACTTTTATCATTAATAATATTTTTCCATTGTTTATTAACATGAATACATGAATGAAATAAATCATATGGATTTAAATAATATGTAAATAAACGTAATAAAATTTCATTTGGAATTTGAGAAATTGGTGAACGAGTATCAAGAACTAATTGAAAAGAATTCTTTTTTTAGTTTTGTCAAACAAAATAAAATAAAAATAAAAAAAACCTTTTAATGCACATTGATTCCATTGTTTATTAACTCGAAGACATGATTGTTTTAATTGTCGATCAGTTAAATATTTCATAATAGATTGTAAAATATTATTCGATAAATTATTTATTGATATCAATCGTTCATATGATATTACTAAATTAAAAACATTTATTTCAATACAAGTCACAATCAAATCTCACTAGTTTATACTATTTATTTATTTATAGAACTTTTCTAGAAAACCAATGGTTTATTACTAATGTATTATCTTAGAATACAAATATCTATTCGACAGTGAATTTTCAGATTATAATAAGGATTGTATCATTTCTCATCAGATAAATTCCTTGTTTTGCTTTTCATTACAATACTCTCTGCACAGACTGGTAATTCAGTAACTTATTCTGAACTCAAGAAAAATTGATCTAAGTACATGAGACCTAGCCTCATCAGATGAAAATATGGAACAGAGTTACGAATCATTTTAATATTACAAAAAAAAACTTAATAATTTTTTCTGATAACCTTTTTTTTTAGCTATAAACCTATACTCATACAGATCAAATCTTATACGTCTTTTCCATTGAAAGCTTTCGATAAGTTTTTTTCTTTAAAAATGTTATGTTTCTATGAAATAAATTAATTTTAATTCATCTCATCCCGATTTATTCCAAATTAGTTACTAAATAAGTTTAAAATACTTGAACAGTTATGTTTTTTTATAATAAAGCTCTATTTTACCAAAATATATTAATACTGATTGTAATTATAAATATTTTTACCGCATTAAGATAATGTGAATTGAAGCATAACAAGTCAGATACATTGTCGCCAATAAATGACTTATTAAACTTAACTGATACCCTTCACACATGAAATAGCAGATATTTATATCACACGTTTTGTAAGTTGAAATATTTCAACATATGTCTTAATACGCAGGGAAAATATCGAAGTAATTACATACAGAAGAGAAAACCGATGGAGAAATATCTGACAATATATGTATATGTGCGTCAGAGAAAAGGACGAATACCTAGATATAATATATATATGATGTTACGATCAATATATAGTGACAACAGTGACTGTTGATCAAAATTAATTGCATCTAAGGTATTTCAATCATGAATAAAATTGATTGATAGTTTGGGGAAAATCAAAATGGGATAAACGGAGAGTAACAATTAAGAAACAAACTATTTAATTGGCCAATTTGGGACGAATCGAGAGGTTCTGATTTTAATTTCATAATATTAGATTCTAATTTGATATGATTATGTTTTTTTTTCAAATTTACCATATATTTTTAATGGTCGTTCAATTTCATAAACAATATTATTTGCTGAATTTTCTCGTTTTTGTAATGTCATTTTAATAACTTCAATACGCATTATTTTTAATTCCATTTCAGTAAAATATTTTGAAAGTAATGGTTGAATATCCTGAATAGAAATTTCAATAGAAATTTAGATAAAAATAAATAAATAAACAAACATTTTCTTCTTCATGCATATGTGGAACAAAATCATCATAGAATTTCATCATTGCTTTATGTAATTTAACACCATAAGAAACTCTATCAGCATTTCCTCGACGTATAAATGCATAACCATCACGAAATAAACTGACTAATGGTGTAAAACGATCAACTTTATGACAATTACAAATCAATTCTGTATCATCTATAGTTGAATGTTGTTTTAATTTTTTCTTTAATTTTTTCATAACAAAATGATTTTCAATTTCTTCATGTGCCATAAATTCAACAAATGTACGTTGTAATCTTACTAATAATTGTTCAAAATCATTTAAACTTGTAAAATCTGTATGACCAACCTAAATTTAACAACGAGAAAGAAAAATAAATAAATAAATAATTTTCTATTTTAATAAATCTTATTTTACTTTTGATGTACAACAATTCATTAATTTTCTCATTCGACTATGAGGAAATGTAAATACATTTAATTCATCAAAAACAATTGGTGCCATTTTAGTTTGTTTTATTTCAGATCTTAGTTTCGACTATGTATATATGAATAAATATCAAATATGAATGAAGAAAAGAATTATTCGTCATTAGTTTAGCCATCATTGAAATATATTGGCCACTAGAATTTATAGATGTCGTTACGTTTTATTATTAACCTTCCCAATAGGACATCAGATTGTAACTTCATAACAAACTCATTAATATATTTTCAAATTATTATGTCGTTTTAAGACGATCATTAAAATCCTACGAAATAGGATAATTATTTAATGCAAAATTTATTATTTTATATGAAAGAACAATTTTCTTCATGCAGACATATAGAGGAAAAATAATATTTATATTAGACATCATTGTTTGATAATAAAAATTTGTTCTGAGAGAGAGAGAGAGAAACATAATATATTTGATGTTATTATTAGTTCAAGATACAATTTAAAAATGATGATAATAATAATATGAGTTCGTTTAGTTTCATAGTTTCAGATGATATTATAAATTATTTATTTAATTAACAAGAAAACACTAATCAGACATGCCAAGGTAAATGAATATCGTAAATATTTTATCATCAAAATCTAATCACACACTGTAAAAGAAAATTGTAATAATGTTCATATTATTTTTTTTATTTTCTTTCGTTTCATTGGTATGTATATATGTTATACATTTTTCTTTTCTTTCTCATATTTTCTATATGACGATCATATTGTTCGTCTAACTAGGTCTTTCCGACCTGCCGTCCATGAGAATATATTGAAATTTTCATCTTCGTTCTTTTTCATATTTTGCTCTAGTTTTTCGTTTACTTATTTCACAATTAGAAAATTAATGTATTATATTATCTTTTCTGCTTTCGTCCGCTTTGACAAGAAGTATGATACACTTCGATTACCCTAGCTCTTTCTTTTATTCATCCCTCCTCCTCTCGTCTATTTGTGTCTGTACTTGAATAAGAAATGGTATAGATAGTTAATTCAGTTGCAAAAGAAACCTTGTATGAGACATAACCTTGATCAAAATAAATGTGATTGCAATTGAAAGATATTTTTTGTCATATTGTTCAAATTTTGATTGTCTTCAAAGCTTTCTGAATGAACTTTATTTAACATTCGCTTGTTGACCACGAGCATATATAAAAATG